AGCACCACTTCCTGCCACTCCCTGCAGCCAGCTTCTCTCCATCCCTGTGACACCTTTGTGTATGGAATGTGAATCTGCTCCAGCACTCAATTACCCTTTAATGCCCTGGAAGGTAAAGTAGCCATTTTCTGATGTTTTGTATCTCTACCTTGCATGTGACCAAGTTAAAATCAACAGAAAAGTCAGGGTCTTTTTGCCTCAGGACTTGTTCAATATGGGTTGGTGAATACAGATATAATAATAGCTAACTTTTTGGGTCTGGCACTTTCTAAGTGTTTTACATATGTTAACTCATCAAAACCATCCAGTAATCAGCAAAACCACACTGAGGTAGATGTCTTTATTGGGTCAATTTTTCAGATGGGAAAACTGAGGCACAGGAGGTTATGTAATTTCCTTCAAGGCAACAGAGCTAGAAAGCAACGCAGCAACAACCTTAATCCAGACAGTTCGGCTTCAGAGTCTGACCCCTTATCCATTCCATCATCTTCCTCTCCAGGGAAAGGGGGCCAAGAGGTGGGAGAGACACTGAACATCTCTTCCAGGGCCAGGAGGGGATGCATGCACACGTGCTAAGTCGCTTCAGTCGTGTCTGACTCTTTGCAACCCTATGGACTGTAGCCCGCCAGGCTCCTCTGTGCACGGGGTTCTCCAAGCAAGAATACTGGAGTGGGTTGCCATTTCCCTTCTCCAGGGGATCTTCTCCACCCAAGGACTGAACTCAGGTCTCCTGCCTTGTAGGCAGATTCTTCATCTGAGCCACCAGGAAGGTACTGAGTGTTAACGCTGACTTTGTTTTCTGTATCAACAGAACCTAAAGCTTCTATCGGGGTTATCTCAGGAAACTTGGGCATCCAAATCCCACCCAAACCCAAGTACAAGGGTGCCAAGCCCCAACAGAAACTGGCAATATAAACTGGCACGACTGAAGCCTCACAGCTGTGAACGGCCCCCCGGGGGCTCTTCCCTTTGTCCCCTCTGCCAGCCCCACCCAGCCCCTTCCGCCGTTGCCAAGACCCTGCCTCCCGCTCCCCTGCACCTGGCTGCCCTGGCAGGCAGCCCCAGACCCCTCACAGAGGATAAGCTTCCCCCAGCTCTGAGCGGCTGCCAGGCCGTGCCCGAGCCGGCAGGCATTTCCTGGGCACCACTCACTGCCCTACCAGGCCTACGTTAGGTTGATGGTCCCGCACAGCCCCACGGAGGTGCTATTTTTAATTTAATTGGGCAGTCGAAGGAGAGAGATGGTACCCAGCAAGGGAGTTTTAAAAGCTTTCAGGGTGGGGGGAGGGGAGAGAAAGCAAAGAAAAGTTCATAATTATACACCAGGCAGCCAGATTTGATGCTTGAACAGAAAGGTTAAATGTTACATTCAGAATAAAATGAGAAAGAGAGTTCCGATGACAGTTGCCCAGAGCGACACAAGGAATAAAAAATACCCCTTCCCAGCTCTTCTCCAACAAACTCTTTTCTCTCATACTCATTTCTGCATTTCCCCCCTTCTGCCAAGAGTACACAAATAAGCCAGTTTGGAGCACAGAGATTATTGCCTGACATGCCAACACCTTGATTTCAATTCAAAAGCAGCTTTCACTCAAGCCTGGAAAAATCACACATCTCCATCTCTCAGGTCAAGGGGTCCAACAAGGCCCAGAAAATTGGGAAGGTAGTCTGAAACTGTGGGCAACAATATGGGCCCTAGTATGGATAGACATAGATTCAAATCCCTCTTCTGCCAAGGGACACATGCTGAAGATTGTGAAATTGGCTGAATGACACTTTCCTATAAATGTCACACTCTTTTCAACCTACCTTTTCCTGTATGGATGGTGGGTGTGATACCAGGAGCTGCTGCAGCTATTTTGTGACCACAAGGCAACTAAAACTGGAAGAGTCCCTGACTATACAGACATGCCACTGTTCTACTGGACTGCCTACTTGCTACCTGAGATGGAAAAAAAAGAAACATCCCAATATGTTTCAGCCACTTTTAGTCTCGTTTTCCTCCAGGAATGCTGAATCCATTCCTAACTGGCAGTTCATTATTAGCTTTAGCATGTGTGTGAACTTGAGGTGCTTAGTATGTCTGAAGTTCAGTAGGTCAAACATCACTTATTTCACAGTGTGTATGCAAGGATTAAATGCAATTCCTTTTGTAAAGCACTCACCACAATGCCTGACAAGGCATAGTGACTGCTGTTGCTATTAATACTCCTGATTAATAGGAGAGAAATAACAACTTGTAAATTTTAAAGAATATATTTCAATGCACTTTCTCATTTTCAGTGTGACTTCTCACCCATTGTTTTGGTTCATCCTCAACCCCAAACCTTGGAGAGGAGGACGTTCTACTCCTACTGTTCACCTGATTGACTCAGAGAAGATGCAGAAGCCCAAGGTAGCTTCATCACTAGCAGGGCCAGCCTGTTACTCAAGTCTGACTCCAAGACCATGGGGCATTTGAGGCCCCACTTCTGCCTCTGGGAACCACTGATGCTAAGGTTCAGGGCTAAGGATGTGGATGAGAGAAAGCGGTTCATGTGTCAAAGATGAGGCGAGTTTGACTCACCTCCTCCTATTCCTGGAACTCTTGAAGAGTCCCTTGGACAGCAAAGAGATCAAACCAGTCAATCCTAAAGGAAATCAACCCTGAATACACATTGGAAGGATTTATGCTAAAGCTGGAACTCCAATACTTTGGCAGCCTGATTCACTGGACTTATTGGAAAAGACCCTGATGCTGGGAAAGATTGAGGGCAGGAGGAGAAGGGGGTGACAGAGGATGAGATGGTTGGATGGCATCACCGACTCGATGGACATGAGTTTGAGCAAGCTCCTGGAGATAGAGAAGGACAGGGAGGCCTGGCGCGCTGCAGTCCACGGGATCGCAAAGAGTTGAACATGACTGACTGGCTGAACAACAAATTCCGGGACCACCAGGGTGCCCTGGGCGTCAGCCCGCCCCATCCTTTTGGTTCCCTGATGTCGAGGGGCAGATGGGAACGGAGCATGGGGGGACCAGTCTCCCTCCGGAAGCAGCCACACCAGAGCGCTGAGAGCCCAGATCTGACGTGAAGCCCACCTCTGTTCACGAGGGGAAAGTTGTTTTTTGCTGCTGTTTTTCAGCCGCTCAGTCGTGCCTGACTCTGCGGCCCCACGGAGTTCAGCACACCAGGCCTCCCTGTCCTCCACCGCCTCCCGGAGTGTGCTCAAGCTCATGTCCATCGGTCGGTGATGCCCTCCAACCAGCTCATCCTCTGTCATCCCCTTGTCCTCCTGCTTTCTACCTTAAATAAATAGTAAGCTAGGATTCCTTTCTATCATTAGAATAAGCAAAAAGCCGCTGTGACCATCCCCAGACCGCAGTGCTGAACACAGCAGGTTCCTCCTGGTGTCCCGGGCCGGGCAGGCTGGTGGGCTGAGGCAGGAGACTCCCCCCTCCGCCCCCCTGCCGCGCTCCCCTCCCCCATCAGGGCCCCTGCATCCCGGGGCTCACAGGGCAACTGTAAGGAGCAGGCACGGGCACACGCTGAACTGGCTGGCACCTGTGTGTGGTCACGTGGTCCTAACCCCAAGGACGACCCCACAGCGTGCTGCGGAGCGGGGGGCACAGCCACCCAGTCCCCAGAAACCTCCAGCCCGGCCGCCCCATTGGAACCAGGCGTCCTGCCACACCCGGACCATGTGACCTCGAACACTTAATCCGTTTCATCCATCAGCACCTAAACCAGATTTCCTGACAGACACACCTCATTTTCCTGGCTTCACAAATAACTGCATTTGTTTTTTTTAACAAACTGAAGGTCCGCGGCAGCCCTGCCCTGAGCGAGTCTAAGGTGGCCGTTTTCACCAGTGTTTGCTCACCCTGGACCACAGTCTGGCGTCTCACCACCTTTCAGACTTTCTCACCATTATTACTGCATTTGTAACGGTGATGTGTGGTCAGCGATCTGTGACGTTACTACCGCAGTATGTTGAGGGCTCAGGTAAGGGCACGTATTAGCAGTGCAACGCTTTTCTTGTTTCGGCGGCGCCGGCTCTCAGCCGCGGCGCGGCCCCGCCACGGTGGCAGGCAGCGGCTTCTGCGGCAGTGCGCGCTGAGCAGCCCCGAGGAACGTGGGATCTTATGTTCCTGACGGGGATCGACCCACATCCCCTGCATCGCAAGGTGGACTTTCAACCACTGGGCCACCAGGAAGTCCCAGCAATCAAGTAGTTTTAAATTAAGTTGTGTATGTATTTTGGATATAATGATACTTCACACTGAATAGCCTGCAGTATAAACGTAACTTTCACATGCGCTGCTGATGTCGTTTAGTCACTCAGTCATGTCTGACTCTTTGCAACCTCATGGACTGTAGCCCACCAGGCTCCTCTGGCCATGGGATTCTCCAGGCAAGAATGCTGGAGTGGGCGGCCAAGGCCTCCTCGAGGGGACCGTCCCAACCCAGGGATTGAACTCGGGTCTCCTATATTGCCGGTAGATTCTTTACCATCTGAACCCCCAGGGGAAGCCTTTTATACGCAGTGGGAAACCAAAACATTCAAGGGCTGTATCGCAACATTCGCTTTCTCAGAGCAAGCTGGAAGCAAGCCGTCAGCATCCCCAGGCATGCCAGTACCTGTCACGTGTGTCCCTGCAGGAGATGACAACCTCCTGAACCAGAAACCTCATGCATCTTTTCATCCTGAAGTCCCCAGTGCCCAGCAGAACACCAGGCACATGGTAGGTTCTCCAGTATTGACTGAATAAACATTATATAAACAGGAACGCCAACTTCCGCAGAGCACCAGGACATCCAGAATGAGTGGGGAGGACACAGCCGTCAGAGAAGGGTGCTCCAGGCCCTCGCCCACTGGGCTCCGGGGAATCACTGCTCTCAGGCCCGCGAAGCCCCCACGGGCGGCCCGGGCCCCACCCCGACACTCACGTGCTCACACTCCTTGGGTCCCCCCAAAGGGACTGCCCACCCTGCCCCATCCATGACCACAGAAGCCAGCACTTCCAAACAAGGTATTTATTTGCACATGGAAAACAAATCCCCGGCCAGGGGCCCAAGGGCAGGAAGGGCGCGCCAGGCTTCCTGCACCAACCCCCACTCAGCTGGAAGGAGGGGTAGGTCTACAAACTTCAACTCTCCCATCCCCACCCACCCTATCCCCTATTCAAAAATAATTCTCCCTTGCCTGCCCCCATTAAAACCTACTCAATCAAAAGAATGGGACCGCCAAGAGAAATGCCAGGAAAAAACAAGCAACTGTTAAGCGTGGAGATGGCAGCTAGCCGCTCCATCCCAGTGACAGACCAGCCCCCCCAAAGGGTTTCCAGGGTGGTACCCTGTCCTCCTATGGGGTGGATCCCACTCTTGAAGCAAGATAAAACCCTAGAACCTAGAAAAATCTCCCATGACCTTTGAATTCCAAAGCCAGCTAACCCCACCCCAGCCCAGCCTCTCGCTGGGATGAGCCCACCCACGCCGGTCGGAGGGGAGCTGGGCCGCGGGAGCAGGCCGCTGGTCACATCCTGAAGCGCTCACTGTACTCCTCCTTGGTCAACCACTCGGACTTGTAAGTCGACAGGTGAGCCACGACGGACGCTCCCAGCCAGACGCTGAAGTGCCTGTTGGAACCCGCAAACACGGAGGCCCTGGTGGAGGAGAAATGGCTGGCCACCAGCTGGTAGAGACGCGTGGTGAAGCCCGGGTAGAGGGTGTTTCCCCCGCAGGGCACCACGTGGGAGGTGAGCAGCGGGCGCAGGCTGGGCTCACAGGCCTCGATGGACTCCACGACGGCCTGGGGGAGGCTGGGCCCCTGCAGGTTGAACACCTGGGGGCTGAAGAACATCTCGGGGGCCAGCCGCTGCATGGCGGTCAGCTCCACGGGGGTGCCGTCTGGGAGCTGGTAGCTGTTGCTCCTGTCGGCGCTGTGCGGCAGGCTCTGATAGAACTCCAGCTCCTCCCCCAGATTCAGTGGCACGTAGCACTTATACATCTGGGTGCTGGCCACGGTGTCCAGCTGGAACAGGTTGTGGCGATTGTAAGCTTCCTTGAAGAGGCTCTTGAAGAGATAGGCCGAGAGGTCCTGGCCCGCGAACTCCAGCGTCTTCGCCCCGGGCCACAGCGGGCGGCCCAGGTGGAAGGGCTGCACGCGGGTCAGGCCACAGCCCGAGTCCACCACCACGCCCGTCAGCAGGCCAGACGCGTACAGCGACATCTCCCGCTGGTCGGCCAGGAGGACGGACGGCACACCCAGCAACTCGAACATGATCTGCAGGAGGGGAGAAGACAGACGCTCAGCATGCTCTCCCCAGAACGCCCTCATCTGTGTTTCCCCAGGACCATGCCAGGCAAAGCTCAAGTCGGCACAGACGCAGGTCCTCCAGGGACGGGCCAGGCCCCTGTGGCTCACGCCGGGGGGACTCAGGGAGGGTTCTGGGGGATCAGAAAGAGCCAGGCTGGCCCTCGGGAGCTTGCTTGACGATGGCCTTTCAGAGGGCCGTTCGGCGGAGGGGTGGGAAGTGCCTCAGCGTGTGAACACAGGCGCTGAGACAGCGGGTCGTGTGAGCAGCGCGGCACAAGCCGGGACCAGGCCAAGGGCTGGAGGTGCGGCCTGAGCTGTCTCTATCTCTGGCCGCGCTGGGTCGCCTGAGCTGTCTCTATCTCTGGCCGCGCTGGGTCGCCTGAGCTGTCTCTATCTCTGGCCGCGCTGGGTCGCCTGAGCTGTCTCTATCTCTGGCCGTGCTGGGTCTCTGCGGCTGCACAGGCTCTTCTCTGGCTGCGGTGGCCGGGCTGCCCGCCAGGGGCAGAGCGCAGGCCCCACTGCGGCAGCCTCTCTGCTCCCCAGCTGCGGCTTGTGGGCTCGGGGGTTGCGGCTCCCGGGCCCCCGAGCTCAGGCTCAGGCCTGTGGAGCTCGGGCTTAGCTGCTCCACGGCACGTGGGACTTTCCTGGACCGGAAGTCGAACCCGCGTCTCCTGCATTGGCAGGTGGATTCTTCACCACCGAGCCAGCCGGGAAGCCCCTGGACCATTTTTTTTTTTTTTTAAGAAGAAAGAAGAGATGAGAGCAGAAACCCGTGCTGCACACAGACACGGCCTCCTGAAAGGTGGGGCAGCAAGAAGGGAAGGGGGCAGGGGAGGGAGACACACTCACCTCCTGACACGCTGAAGCCTGTCTTTTAAGATAAATACTTTCCAAACACCAAGACAAAGCTGGAGCTCTGACCTTCGGCGCTCGGCACGTCCCCGGCTGATTCTCCCCTGCCTGCCACCCCCTCGGTCTTTACAGAGCACCCCACCCCCTCCTCCCCACCTGCCCAGCACTGGCTGCGTCCCCAGCGCTCTGACACCACAGACGCAGAGAGGCTCTAACAGCCCCGCTCTGGAGCCTCTGGACACTTGGCCACCTTTGCAGGCCCATCTTCTCGCCTCAGTGGGAGGGCGTTCCACCCGTTCATATGCTCAGACTGTTGTCCCCTTACTATCCATTCCCCATACAGAAGCCAAGGTCCCCTTTTCCAAATAAAAATCAAATGCGACCCCTCACCCCACTTAAAGCCCTCCGGGAGCTCCATATTCACTCAAAGCAGAGGTTGGTGAACATTTCCTATAAATGGTTCAGGGTGTCAGATGTACCAAATAAAAATACAAGAGGCCCAATTAAATCTGAATTTCCGACGGACAACAAATAATGCTTCACTATATCCCAGGACTTCTCTGCTGGCTCAGATGGTAAAGCGTCTGCCTACAACACAGGAGACCTGGGTTCAATCCCTGGGTCAGGAAGATCCTCTGGAGAAGGAAATGGCAGCCCACTCCAGTACTCTTGCCTGAAAAATCCCCTGGATGGAGAACCCTGGTAGGGTATAGTCCACGGGGTCGCAAAGAGTTGGACACGACTGGGCGACTTCACTTTCACTTCACTTTATATCCTATGCAATATTTGATACACTGAAACATCTGCTGTTGATGGGAAATTGCAATCTAGATAGAACTGTATCTAGCAGACCTACAACCTAAGTATCTTCTAGGCTTCATGAGCTGCGGTCTCTTTCCAAAGACTCAGTTCTGCTGCTATGGGGTGAAAGCAGCCACAGGTGATATGTAAATGAGCAGGCGTGGCTATGTGTCAACAAATCTTTACTCATAAAGACAGATGGTAAGCCACACTTGGCCAACTGGCTATAGTTTTCCAGCCCTTGATTTAGAGTAAATCCAACCACATCCCACAGCCTACCAGACCTGTGAGATCCGGCCCGTCTCCCTGTCACCACCGTCCCTGCTTTGCTGGGCTCCAGCCTCCCAGAGAAGGCCTCCCTGATCACCATTTTCAAAGGGGCTCCCGTTCTTCCCCTCAGTCAGTTTTTACCCCATTGCATTGTAGTTTTAGAACTGATTACTACCTGGGATTTTTGTTAACTTGTTCACAGTCAAGTCTTCCTGCAGAACATAAGCTCTTTGAGGACTGGAAGATGCTCTGTGAACATTTATGGAGCCCGTGAGTACCCCGCGTCCCGCCCCCCCCGACAGCACCCTGTTCACGAGAGCATTGGCCTGCCGTGCCTCCTCCTCCGGGAGCGGCTCTGTGAGCCCCTCTCACCTAACACGAGCGCCGGGCACACACGCGGGGCAGTCAGACTCCGTCAGTGCTTTAGAAGGCGGAGCTCCTGTGCCCATGCAGGTCTGGACAGTGTCAGGCCCGCTCCCTGGAGGGGCAGCCCGAGAAGACCTCACCTCCAGGGTCTTCTGGCGGTCCGCAGGCTCCTTCAGGGGGCTCTCTGTGATGATCACAGGCAAGTCCTCATGCTCCAGCCGGTGCCTCTGCAGGATAAATGACCAGATGTGCTCCACACCCTCCCAGTTGATGACGCGGCCCCGCTGCACGGGATAGCTGAAGGTGTCGGGTCGGCAGATGTCGATGCCGAGACTCACACGCCGCCGGGCATAGCTGGGGCCCGGGTTCTCCTGGCAGGGGATGTAGTTCACGACACTGGGCAAGACCAGCTGGGGCTCATTCCAGCCCGACAAGCCAGCCTTCAGAAAGGCAGAGCCATGGTCGATGATGATGCTTCTCGCAGACATGGCAGAGGTGGGGGGGAGGTCTGCTCACGGGCCACCTGTGGAGGGAGAGGACAGGGGTGGTTATGAACCAACTCTAGGCCGCCACTGGCTTCTCCACCCCAGTCAAACCTCAGGCTCCCCTGAATTCATCTGCTCTGCTCACCTTCCAGGCCTTTGAACAAGCTGAAACCTGCACCTGGAAGGTTCTTCCCAAACTCCCATTCTACAAAGTCCACCTACCAGGCCCCACGTGGGACGTCCAGCCGATCCACTCGCCCCGCTTCCCACCAAGCTCCTCCTCCTGCACTTGGTGCTCTCGCCCACACCAAGTGGGCACTTCTGCCCCCCCAGGCCCGCTCACATTCTGCAGACTCCTAAGAAGCTGGTCACACAGGATGGACTTGGCGGACTTTGGCTGCCTGACTGAGGACACGTGGAAGACGAAGCTTCAGCTGCAGGGGCCACCGCCCTCGATAGTAACAGTGAAACAACAGGAGCAGCAAGAGGAATATGACGATGACAATAACAACTGGCGACCACCTCTGCAGCAGACGCTCTCTTATCTATCGAGAGCTGCAAGGTTGAAGTTTAGGTTGAAAGAGGCAAAACAGTCATGTGAGTCCATCAAAAATGATCAAATATCAACAATCTGAAACACATGTACACGTTTTTAGAAGCTTCACTCATAATCACTCAAGTGTAGAAACAACCTAAGTACCAACTGGAGAGGTACAGACAAATCTCCATTCGATAGATTAACGCTCAGCAGTAAAAAGGGATAAGTGAAAAACACAGCAACATGAGCAATTCTCAAACGCATGAAGCCGGATGAAAGAAGTCAGACTCGAGAGATGATGAAGCCGGATGAAAGAAGTCAGACTCAAGAGGTGCGTGCTGGAGGGGCTCCCATTCACACGACGTTCTGGAAAAGGCAAAGCTGTAAAGACAAAACAAACCAGTGGCTGTCAGCAGCCAGAGGTGGAGACGGGCTGACCCCAAGGGACAGGGAGGCCCTGGAGGGCGATGTTCTATTCTGACTGTAGTGGTGGGTACACAACTGCATGCATTTGTCAAAACTCTCACATCCATACAGTAAAAAGAGTGGCTTTTACTCTAAGTAAAAACTAAGAAGCAAACCCAGTGGGTGTGGAGACAATGAAAGATACATGGAATCCCCCTGGCAGAAGGCAAACCGTCACACGCTCAGCAGCCTTGGTACCAAGGATGCACGTGGGTGTCTCGCGTGAGAGACACGCCCGGGGGCAGTTCCGCCCGAGGCCACACCCCGGAGCCGCCACTCCACCAGCGCTGCGCCTGCTTCCGTTTCTGAGCAGCAGCTGTGTCAACCTGCCGCTACAGAGCGTGGCAGCCGCCACCTGGCCCTGGCCAGCAGCCGCCCGCTGTCACTAGCCTTGGGGCCATGATTAGGCTTCCTTGAATTAGCTCTAACAACAGATGGGGGAGAGTGGAGAGAAGGAGCAAGACGGAAGCAAGGCGCCGGTCTCCTCCCTTGCCTGCTGGGACCCAGAGTGATGGGGAAATGGGCACCTGCATGACTTCCGGGACGCAGGCTGTAGCACCGACTTCTCTGCACCTCAAGAGCAGGGCAACTGGTAACCGCTTCCTCGCCCCTGGCGCCCGCCTCGGCATTTGGAATCACAGCAGATGCGGGCAGGCTAACGTCCACTGCGATGGTTGATCGAGTTGCTCACTTAGGGGCCTCCAGGTGGGTGGCCCAGCTGCCCTGACCTGGGAACTTGAGGATGGGGAGCAAGGGGCCATCCGCCTCCTGGACCATGACTGAAGGAAGAAAGTCTGAATGGCTCCAAGGAGCCCATCCCCAGGACAGAGACTAAAATGTACACGTTCAAAAGCATTTTACTGAGTCGCCTATTGTACAAAACAAACCCCTACTGAGCATTATGGATGCAGATCATTCTGAAAGGGTTCTGGCCCTCCTAGAGCTTACAGTCTACAGAGAAAGACTGTCAGATCATGGCACCTGATCAAATGTGTCATGCATGCCAGGAGGGATTAGCACAATAAAGAAAAAGAAAATCTGGTAAAAGCAACAGGGAGTGTAAGGGGCACAGAGGCCTGGCGTTATTCTAAACAGGGCCTCTTTACAGAGTGACAGCTGTGCAGAGAAATGAATTCAGCAAGAGAATGAGGCATGTTGATTACCTGGGAAAGCATTCCAAGCGAAAGAAACAGCAAGTGCAAAGGCCCCGGGGCAAAAACTGCCAGCTGTGATCTAAGAGCAGCCCAGAAGCCAGTGGGGGACATGGTGAGCAAGGGGAAGGGTGCTGATCTCGGATGGGGCCTTCAGGGGGTGTCTGTATTACGCTTCGAGCTAAGAGAAACCACCAAGGGTTTGATTTGGGGAATGAATATTATCTGACTTGGGCTGTAAGAAGGACAACTGGGCTCATGTGAAGCACAGACCATGAGGGCAAGAGGAGAAGCAGGAGGAGGAAAGATGCGAAAGGTGACGGCGGCCTGCACTAAGCTGGGAACTGCCGAGAAGGCGAGAAGTGGTCTGAGTCTGGGTGTATTTAAGAAAGATGGATACGACAGAATGGGAGACAAGATGAGGAATAAAGTGCAATGCCAAGATTTTTACCCCAAAAGCCAGAAGAATGATGTCTGCGTTCACTAAGATGAAGCCTATGGAAGGAACAGGTTGGGATAGGGAGGAAATGGGGAACTTGATTTTGGACATGATGGAAGTCTGAGATGTCTACCAGACACACAGGAGGAGGTCTTGAGGCAGAGTTTACAGTTGCCTGAGCCGGAGCTGTAATTGAGAATCAGTTGCTTCAGTCGCGTCTGATGCTTTGTGACCCCGTGGACCACAGCCCGTGAGGTTCCTCTGTCCATGGGATTCTCCAGGCAGGAATACTGGAGTGGGCTGACACTTCCTCCTCCAGGGGATCTTCTGACCCAGGGATCGAACCCACCCGTGTCTCCTGCATTGTCAGGCGGACTCTTTACCACTAGCGCCACCTGGGGAGCCCTAAAGAATGGGTGGAACTGCAGATTCTGGGGATGGATGAGATCACGCAGGGACTCAGTGCAGAGGAAAACGGATGTCTGAGGGGCTCTAAGGTCTGGAGGCTGGGCGTTGAGAGGGACCAATAAAGAGGATGAGAAGCAGCAGCCACGGAGGTGAGCAGGAACCCAGAGGGACTGTCTCAAAGGCCAAGCAGAAAAAATGTTTCAAGAAGAGAAGAACTGCATGTGCTGAGGAATCAAGATGAAGATAAAGACCGACTGGATGAAGCAACACAGAAGCCATCAGGCAAGAGAGTTTCACTGGAAAGGCGAGGAGAAAGGTCTGAGGAGTGGGAGAGATTCCACAGAACCGAGTCTGCTCTGCAGAAACACCAGCACTCCACAAAACAAAAAGCAAGGCTACGGGAGCGCTGAGAATTAACGGACAAGGCCCCCAACACGACGTAGGTTTTCTGATCCTGGACCACTGAGAAACGGATTCCCACAAAGAGCATCAGTAACATATTTCTGGTCCCAGTCAAGATGGAGTAAGTGCACTATAGCTCTCTCTACCATGAAAGATGACTAACAGCAGCTACCTGGAGACTTGAAAAGCAAAAGGAAAACAAAACCACAGACTGAGGAGGAAAGTCAAACTGAGAGAAGCAACCGCGCAAGGGCGAGGTTGTTGCTTGTTCTGGGTCCTCTTTTCTCTCGCAGCATTGACTTGAGGCATATAAAGCATGTCCTTCGATCATAAAGGAATTAAAAGAAGTCACAATCAGAATGGTATCTGGAAAATCTCCGAACACAGGAAAATTAAGTTAAAAGGGTGCCTGGGTCAAAGAAAAAAATCATAAAATACTTAAACTGAATGCAAACTGAAGCAGAATCTAAAACCTTGGGACACGCGGCTGAAACAGGGCTCGGAGGGGTTACAGCATTGCAGTTCAGTCGCTCAGTCGTGTCTGACTCTCTGTGACCCCGTGGATGCAGCACACCAGGCTTCCCTGTCCTTCACCATCTCCTGGAGTTTACTCATGCTCATGTCCATCGAGTCAGTGGTGCCATCCAACCATCTCACCCTCTGTCGTCCCCTTCTCCTCCTACCCTCACTCGTTCCCAGCATCAGGGTCTTTTCTTATGAGTCGGCTCTTCACATCAGGTGGTCAGAGTACTGGAGTTTCAGGTTCAGCATCAGTCCCTCCAATAAATATTCAGGATTAGTTCCCTCTAGGATTTACTATTGTGATCTCCCTGCAGTCTACCTGACTCTCAAGAGTCTTCTCTAGCACCATTTATAGCATTAAATGTTTATATTTTAAAAAGAAAAACATGTTTCAAATAAGCTTCCATCTTTAGAAGCTGGAAAAAAGAAGAATGCATTAAATTCAAAGCAAGCAGTGGATGGAAATAAAGAACAAAATCAATAGGAAACCAATAGAGAAAAGTCAATAAAACCAGAAGCTAGTTCTTTGAAATGATTAATAAATTGATAAACCTCTAGTCAGATTGAGGAAAAAAAGAGGTAAGACACAAAGGATTGCTATCAGGAATGAGGTGACATTACTTTGACACTATACACATGAAAGAATAACAAGAAATGATAATGAACAATTTTGTGACTATCAATTTGACAATATAGGTGAAAAGAAGAAATTCCTTCAAAGACATAATCTAGTCAAGTTATAGAATATATAGAATATATAGAGAGAGGAAGGTTAATAAAATTATATTCCTTCTTGAGGAAGGAATATATAACCTGAACAGCACTATGACTATTAAAGAGATTTGGTGTTTAAAACTTCCCAATGAAGAGAACTCTAGACCAAATAGCTTCACTGCTAAATGCTACCAAAAATTTAAAGGAAAAAGTGATTCTAATTGTATACAACATCTTCCAGAAAGCCAAAGATAAAGTACCATATCTCGTGAGGGCAGTGTGACCTTGGTGACCAAATCAAAGATACTATAAAAAAAGAAAAATACAAGTCAAAGTCTCTGATGAACAAAATTCTGAATAAAAGATCAGCAAACTCAGCAATACATAAAAAGAATAATTTGTTAATTTTGTTGCTTGGTCACTAAGTTGTGTCCATGTCCAACTCTTTGTGACCCCAGGGGCTGTAGCCTGCCAGGCTCGTCTGTCCATGGGATTTCCCAGGCAAGAACACTGCAGTGGGTTGCCATTTCCTTCTCCAGGAGATATTCCCAACACTCATCAACTAAATGGGGCTTTTCCCAGAAATGTAAAGCTGGTTTAAGATTTTTAAATTAATATAATTCAACCTATTGACAGAAGAAAGAAGAAAAACTACACGACCATCTCAGTAGACGCAAAAAACAATTGGATAAAATTCAAAATAAACTTATAATAAAAACTCTCAATTACTAGGGATAAAAGAGAATTTTATTAACCTAAAAAAAGGCATCTGCAAAAAAAAAAAAACCCTTCAAATAACACACTTAAGTTTCCTCCTGAGACCAGGACTAAGGCAAGGAGGTCAATTCTCAACACTCAGTTGCTGGAAGTTCTAGCCAGCACTATAAAGTGAGGAAATCATGCAATAAAGAGCATATACACTGGAAAAGAATAAATAAAACTGTTCCTGTTTGCAGAAGACACAACCGTCTATACAGAAAATCCCAAAGAACTTACAAAAAAATAGTAGTAATAACTGGGCTTGGACAACTCCCATGATTACTGTAAGTTCAATATTTTAAAAATCAACTGTATTTTATAAGCTAGCAATAAACAGCTTGAAATCAAAATTTTTTACAACATCAAAAACTATAAAATACTTTGGTATAAATCTAACAAAACATGTTATACTGAATACAATATGCTAACAACTACAAACAAACACTGATGAAAGAAATCAAAGAAAACCTAAATAAATAAATAGGTATGCTGTGTTCATGGATTAGATGATTCAACATCATTAAGATGTTAATTCTCCCTAAATTGACCCTTAGATTTAATCCCAACCAAAGTCAAGCTTCCCTGGGGGCTAAGATAGTACATAGTCCGCCTGCAATGCAGGAGACGTGGGATCGGTCCCTGGGTCGGGGAGATCTCCTGGAGAAGGGAATGGCTGCCCACTCCAGTGTTCTGGCCTGGGGAACGCCATGCAGAGAGAAGCCTGGCAGGCTTCAGTCCATGGGGCTGCAAAGAGATGGACACAACTTAGCAACTTTCACTCACTCACTCAAAATCCCAGTAAGATTATTGTTTCAGATATCAACAAGATGATTCTAAAATTTATATAGGAAGACAAAGAAACTACATTAGTCAAAATAATTCTGAAAAAGAAGAACAAAGTTGGAAGACTAATACAATGTGATTCCAAGACCTACTATAAACCTATAGTAATCAAGAAAGTACAGTATTGGTGAAAGGATGGGCACTCAGATCAGTGGAAAACAGCACCCAGGAACAGACTGCGACAAATATAGCCAACTGATTGTGACAAAGACGCAAGGACATTTCAGTGATGAAAGACAGTCTATTCAACAAACAATGCTGGAAAAAACTGAATCCCTCTGAGAGGTTTAAAAAAAAAACCCTCAACCCATTCTTCACCTCTAATACAAACATTAAGTCAGAATGAATTATGTAAACCATAATTATAAAACAACAACAACAAAAAAAACCTGTAAGACTTACAGGAGAAAACAAAAGAGAAAATCTCTATGACTTTACCTAAGAACATCTAAGTGTTCTCAGATAAAACATCAAAAGCAGAACCCATAAAAGGAAACATTTGTATCCGAGACTTCATCAGAATTAAAAACTCCTGCTTTTTGAAAGACACTACTAATTAAAATTCAAACAAGTCACAGGACGGTAGAAAATACAGTTTACCCTTGAATGATACAGAACTCTGCCCCGCACAGGTCCACTCAGAGGCAGGTTTTTTCAATAAACACCCACAACAAGGCTATGCAGCCCACGGCTGAATCCAAAGATGCAAAAGGTGGGCAGAGAGGACCACCTGTAAAGCTACATTCAGAGTTTCAACTGTGCAGGGCCGGTGTCTCTGGCCTCCATGTTGTTCAAGGGTCAACTGTATTTGCAAGTCAAACTTCTGACATAGGACTTGTGTCCAGAATATAAAGAGCTATCAAAAAATCAATAATAAGAAAAGAAATGGAGGTGGTTCAAGATGGTAGTGCAGGAAGACCCTGAATTCACCCTCTCCCACAGGACACACCAAATCTACAGCTACATGCGGGACAATTCCCTCTGAAAACTAGCTCAACTGCTCCTCGACAACAAAGGATAAAAGAGGCAGAGACGCTGTCTCACCCAAAACCCCACCCCCGGCCCAGAGGCCCACAGCTGGGGGATCTCACAAGTAGGGCGCTTCTCTCTGAAGAGAGAGGGGTCTGTATCTCACACCGGGCACCCCAACCCTGGGGCCTGCCCTGGAGACGACACACCCCACCGCACCTGGCTTTGAATACCAAGAGAACTCACGTCCCAGAGGGAGTGGACACCCCACTCTTTAACGTGTTTTCCGTTTTATTTTGGGGGGTCATGCCAAGCCTGAGACATACACGTTTGCAAAAAGGATGTGTCGGGTTTCGCTGGGCCAAGAGGACTGATGGAGACTTGTGGGGTGAGGAGGAGCCCCGTGGGAAGGCACGGAAACAGTGCCAGCTGGAGCAGGGGCTGAACTGTGAACCCGAAAGAGGCCCCCCCAAAATAAGAGAGATTCCCCGTTGTGTTCTAGGACAAGGACGGAGATGCTAGAAGTAGGACGGACAGGGTAACTGTCTAGCCAGAGAATCCACCCTGAAAGGGCTCGTGGGCAGCCTCACTCGCCTCAGGACCCCAGGCAAAAGCAGTGAGCGCGTCAGCACCTGGA